TTTTCTAACCAATTTTACAATTTTAACCGTTAATTTGCGAATATTTATCCGATAGTTTATATTTTTGGCTGCTAATTTTGCCGGGGGGAAAAATTATCAAAGTAAAATATATTAAAAATACTCGTGAATAGTGCATTTCCTTGTGTACTTTTCCGCCATTAAAACATAATAAACAAAATAAAAATAAAAAACAAAAAACAAAAATTCCCGGATACGTAAAATAAAAAGATAGGTAACAAATAAAATTAACAGAATTAAAGTGACGATTTTTTCCACACGATAACTAACAAAAGAGACAACAACTTTCTGTTAAAAGTAAAACAGTTAGTTGATGGCGCTAGAGACTCATTAGTGAAACACAGGATATTAAAACACGTAAAGCCTAGATTAGTAGAGTAAAACACACACACACATACATACATCTAATTTACATTTTATTTATTTTGAGACATACATATGAAGTATTTATGTTTCGATAAATTTAAAAAAAAAATAATTATAACCATAACCAAAAATACAAAGTTTTTAAATTTCTTGTCCTGTGCCTTTTAACGGTTAATAAAGAAGCGAAATCACTAGATAATATTAATTTTACTATATTAGAGCTGTATAAATTTCAGAAATTATATTTAACAAAAACTTTATCACTTAGGCATCAAAATGTAAATATATCTTTTGTCTACGTTAATCATTTGTATTCAATTAATGTAATCTGAATAAAGGATATTTCTCACATTTACTTTTACAATTTCATAATGCATTTTTTTTAACACACTAAATAAAATCAAGGAATATTCTCAAAAACACAATGCAAATGGACTCACCAAGGATTTCTTCGAAGGAACGAAAGAGTAATTGAGGATTAATTAATATAACAGGGACAAAAATATAAATAACTATAAGGAGTAATTATGTGATGGAAACTTACAAAACTTACCTCCAGTCTGTCAGAGCGAGGCATTTTTTGTTGCGTAACCACAGTTTGAGGTACAACTCCAAGTGGCGAACCAACACCAGTAGGGTCCGGACCTACTATCGTTGGCATTATTGGGCCTGGTGCAAAATACGGACTGTATGTACTACCAACTTGTGGTACTCCAGTGAGATACGGATTGGTGGCCTGAAATTTATTTACAACAATGTAGCTACAGTAATGTAGGCCACCTTTTTAAATTTTTTAATCCGTGTTGGAAAAACTTCTGCTCCGATATCAAACAAATTGCAATACACTGCAATGTAAAAAATGTTTATCTAATCCATCAAATGAGGATCGCGATTTAGATATTAGTAAATCTCAGTCTCGATAAATTGCTGACTTATAAAGCTCCTAATGAGTGAGTACAAATACAAGTAGTGTACCGCCATCTAGCGAGTATTTGCTGCTACTGAAGTATTTTATAATTTAATTGTGCCGTTTTACTAAGAACAAAAAACGCACTTAAAATTACCACAAGTAAAAAGGCAAATTAGACATTAGTCTAGAAAGAAGTGGAGGTGGTGCATGTAGAACGAATTTTTGAGTACCTAATGCCCTTCTGATTGTGATGAATTATTAATGCCCTGCACCTCCACCATATAGTTTTAATATATCTAAAAGCCATAAAAAAGGCTCGCACATTTACAACTATTTCAAAACATGGGAGATAAAAATGTTAAATGTCGATTTATTAATCATTTCCATCTGTTATGAATTTATAGATTGATTCGTTCTTGTGTAGAGAAACGAGTGCAATGAACGAAACTAATGGGAAGCTAATGTTCTGTTGTGTAATTGACCTTCTGACACGACAATAATACAATGAAAAATTGCTATCACCTTTCGCTCTATATGAAAATTATAAACATAATTGAAAATACGCCATTTGTGTAGAGAATATGAACAAGCTCTACGGGTTTTTATTTCAGCTAGAAACAGTAATTGGTACAATTGTCCCTGTGTAACAGAAAACGCTGTTGCAGTGAAAGCTGTTCGATAAATTTTATTATGTTACAATCATGATTAATTTTTTTTAAAGAACTTATAATGGAAAAATGATTTCTCTTTTTAAAAACTAAAAAACTATGTAATATTATATCATCACTGAACTAGTGTACCTGAAGCCTTCCTCGAAGTATGGGCCTTTTAACTAAAAATAATTTTAAATAAATTTCAAAACCCGATGCTAAATGGTTGTAACTTTTTATAATATTTATAACTACGGATTTAGTTAAATGTAGATGGGCTCTTGATTAATGTGGTTATATTTGGTTTTCATATTAAATTCTACACAGGAAAGTTTGGATATAATGACTCCGTTTAAAATGGCATATCGTTTATTATGACTAATTCTCAAGAAGTCATATTCGGCTATAGTGACCCAAATGATGAATAATAACATTTTCGCTCATTTTTCTGGCTCTTATGTGTATTGATATTACAATTCGCCGTTCTTTTTCTTTTTTTGGTTAATAAATATATGCAATTNTTATCATTTTATCGTAATTTAAAAACTTGGAAATTACACGGTACACTATAGGAACTACGATAAATTTTCCCTAATCGGCGCCATGATTTTAGGCTCCTCCCATTTGACGGATCCAAATATATGTCTTAAAATATTTATAAAAGTTTTGAAACGTTTATCTATACCTTTACGTATACCTAAAATGTATTATAGGGCCGATGGGGCAAGTTGTCGAAAAACTATCGACTCCGCTTATTAACTTAACCGATAAATTATCTATTAATATCATCATAAGTTCGCATATAGATAAGTAAGTAATCCAAAATTACTGCTGAAAATGTACTTTGCGCGTTGTTGGAAATAAGACATGCAAAGCAGGCGCAACTGGTACCAGTAATAAATCTGTGTCGGCGGTGCTAGGCTCGTGGGGCCTCTTCTTGCCAATTTCGAGGGTGGTAGCTGTCTGGGGCGCCATTAAGGGCGACACTGCAGCGGGCTATTAGTAGCGCAGCACAAGACCAAGCGCAGCCACCCAACGGGAGACAAATAAAACAAACCAGCACTAAATTAATCGGAGCCATTGTCGTCTGTATGACATATTTTCTAATTTATTTTAAAAAATGAACTAAAGGGACGACAAAACGCCCATCAATGAAAGTTAAAATCATCTACAGTTCTACCATCAGTAAAAACACGCTATATTATTATTGATAAAATCTAAGCGCATAAGGCGCCAAGTAAAATAAGTTAAAACGGAAAACATTTTGATTAAAAAAATACCTCTTCAATGCAGTTTCCATTCAAAAAAGCTTAAGTTGTGACTATAAAAAAAGTGTTAAAGAACTGCAGATGGTTTAGGACAAATAAAATTTATATAACCAGCTTTCCGGAGAAAACGGAGTGAGGCAATTGTTTTCATAAAAACTATTTGGCTATTTTATGGATATAAGTAAATGGAAAAATATAAATATTAAGAGAGTGCAAAGTGTGCGATCTGGCTTAAAGCAAAGCCAGCATTTGCAAAGCAAAAAAATCATGCTGTCTTGTATTCGACCTCTTTACGTAATAAAAATAATACCAATCACGTGTACCGTAATTGAGCAATATGCAAAATCAAAACGAGACGATTCAACTTAAATTAACTACAAGCCAATCAAAAAGGAAAAATATTTACAAATACACATACAAAATTTATATCATGACGCTGTAAATATTAACAAAACTTTCACGCAGATATTAGGATTCATTGTTTTGTTTCAAATAATAAAAACAAATTAATAGGTAATTAATGATTAAAAATAAAAATACGTAACAATTTCATAAAATTATTTTCCCATGTCTTAATTTTACTAGAAAAAATTGTCAAATACTTCATTGACTTACTACCAAGTAAAATCAATACGATATCTAAAACACCCATCCATTAATCTCTATCGATTTTACTGTTTGTAATTTTTTAAATTTGATTGTTTGTAATAATGTCTAAAAATGTTTAAAACATGACTTGACTGTTATCAATATTTCGGGAAACAAATTTGATTATTGAAGAGCTCTCCAAATTTGAGTACCTACGCATGAATATGATCACCACTAAACAAAGACTATTAACTTTATAGGGTAGATAGATATACGTGAAAAGCACAGAAATTATTCTTAAATCAATTGCACACAGTCCTATTACTTGCAAAATAGCACATATTCTGATGACAACAAAAATATGTAGACTAACTCCACTGTGAAAAAGTGAACTTCTAGTACGATTCGATATAGATCAGTTCGCTTTAATCGAATAACGACGTCATAAACCCAATTCATAAATATTCGCTAAAATATCAAGTAAAACTCAAATCATTAACGAATTAACGTTTAACAATGCAGAAACCCAGTCCTTCCTTGAAACACTTCGGCGTTGAATGGCTATATAATAATATAACCGCTTGGCGCATGGTGGTAGCAGGATTCTTTAAAAGGTTTTTGCAGGCTTCGTTGCATGCGAAAATCAAATTTACAAGGTAAAAAAGATGATTAAAGCCCTGCGTTTTCATTCCTGTTCACCTGGGGGCGAAGTTATGTAGAAAAAAAAAATGGTAAAATAAAACACGAAGCACTAAAGAGCTCCTCTAATGCATTAAGAACAAGTATACATTCACGAAACACAATGTCAGAATTACGACAAATAAAAACTGGAAAAGTCGAAAACTAAAACTAACACTCAAAATTCAAAAAACAAAAAAAGGCTGAAGCAGCTAACCGACTGTTTACATTTAGATTTATTAAATGAAAATAAAATCCCTTAAATATTCCAAAAATTTTTTAAATTTTGTAAAAAACTTCAACTTTTAGAATGACGTCCCTATTAACCGAATTTAGCAGTTACATGAATATTTCAACTGGAATCTTCAAATAATTGATTGACTTTAAATTGTTAAAAATCTATAATAAATAAAGAGTAGAGTAACTCAATGACTTTTAGTCAATTTTTTGTTTTGTTACAAAGCAAAATCCATAACAGACTGATGAAGCCAAAGTTTGACGAAAAAATTGTTATGGATTCAAACGAAAAGTTTTAGTGAAAATCTTTAGGTTGTTAAATGAGCAGTTACATGAATATTTCAAATGATCATCTTTAAATAATTGATTGACTTTGAAGTGATAAAAATCTATAATAAATACAGAGTAAAGTAACTTACTGATTTTTCTCAATTTTTTGCTTTGTTACAAAGCAAAATCCATAACAAACTGATGAACCCCAAAGTTTGACGAAACAATTGTTATGGATTCAAATGAAAAGTTTCAGTGAAAATCTTTAGGTTGTTAAATGACAATTCGGTACAGGCATGCATAAGAAGGTGTAGTTCGGATTGTAACAAGCTTTTACACTAATCAGCCGGCGTAAGCGCTACCGTCATGACAATAGATAGATAGATAGATAAGAAATATAGGAATACTAGTTTCAAAAAACAACACTAATAACAACAACAACAACAATAGAAAAACAAGCAAGCGTGTGAGAGAGAGAGATAGAGAGCGAGCCTAAGACAGCGTAGCATACCGCGCTAGCCCGCGACTGTGCGGCCTTGATTTGGGCTTGAAGGTGCAGAGGGGGATGGAAATAGCGGCAGGGGTCGCGGTTGCAGCGGCCCTTGACTGCATCCATGCACACAGTGACAGTGCCGTCCTCGTTGGCCGTTACTGAGTCGGCGGGATGCGCAAAGCGGCACTCGGACTCAGCGCGCTTGCACGCCCCGCGCTGGAACTCGCGGCAAACCTACAGCAGATACCCGGCTGAAGCCACTGCACTGGGACTTTGGTCATTTTGGTGGTCGTGGTGAAAGTGGTGGTAATTGGTGAGATTGTGTGGTAAAATGGTTATGGTGCCACAGGAGTTTTTATTTTTTTTTTCTTTAGGTTCCGTTATTTCATAGAATGTCTTGTAAAATTTTTACATGCATGTACTGGAAATGATCACAACACCTTAATTTTCAGACAAATCAAAAATTTCTGATAATTCGTATTTATAATAACCCTTTTGAAGGGATGGTGATTACAAATTCCCTAGACCAGGCCTTCTTAAACTGTGGGTCGCCCAAATGGGGTCGCGTAGCAAAATTCTGGGGTCGCGAGAGATTTTACTGTACATTGTTACCTAATAAATAAATCATCAAAAAATATTTATTTACCTTTCTTTTATATTTATATGGGGTCGCCAGGAAACTCGCAATCATAAATGGGGTCGTGAATGAAAAAAGTTTAAGAAGCCCTGCTCTAGACGGTACCGGCGCGCGTCCTGGGCTTATTTTCTTATGACAGACCTGAGCCCGTATTCTTGAATCAAAGCAACCTCGAATATGTTTAGCTACTAGCCCTTGTACTACAAAGTGGTCTAAAAGGGATACCCAAACGAATTCTCTCAGAATCCACCCCATACAATCCGTACTGACACGAATACGAGCTCTAGAAGTTGGAACCATAGTTGACACTGATGCAAAAGCGTCTGACTTCTAAAGCTTCGTCCAAGAAATTTCAAATATTCTTAATGAAATTGTATAAACGTAAATCAAAACTGTTCAAGTAAACAATATAATTTTTGAGCTTTCTCGAAGTAAAATTGAATAACTGTTTACATCAACAGTCTCCTGCATTCCATTAATTTATTTAAATGTACGTAATGGAGACTGTTGATGTTGTAAACAAATATTTAACTAAACAAATAGCTGGAGTTTGGATTTACTTCTATATAATTTAAATTATCAGAAAAAAAAACAATGAAGATAATTAATAGCATCATTGTAATCGTATGTTTACCTCATTTCCTCCGCACATTCTACGAAATAACCCCTTTTTTGCATGTTTTAGCTTATTCCTTTGCACTACATTTGTGCAAAAAGTTGCACAAATACTCTGCATCTACCGTGTGAGCATCCTACTATACTTATCAAATAAATGCCTCGTATGTAAAACTATTTTCTACTAGTAAATGTTAGCTACATGGCGTAAATTAGTACAAGCAGACTAATTTAATTTAACACAGCCTTCAAAATTAATTTAAACTTACAAAATTGTTGAAGTTGAAACTGCAATTATTTAAAATTAAAACTAAACGGAATTCTTATTTTTGAGAAAAAAAATTTTTACTTCTACTTTTTAATAGATTTGACTGTAATATTTATAAAATATGCCGTATTAATCCGATTTACCAAAAGTAAGTGAAGATAAAAAAATAACAAAAACGAAGGCTGCTTTCAATTCGTTAAAGATGTTTTTCTTTATAGAGGCTCGCAGTAAATAACAAAATTTTCACGAATAAATCATAATTAATGTATCTTTTATAAACTTTTGTTACTTCCTTTGTGGGACTACTGGTTCCCACTGATTAAATAAGGGTGCTGGCAAGGAGGTTGTGAAAAATCATGATGATGATGCATGAAAGGGTGTCCGCAGTGATANTAAATAAATTTCAAAACCCGATGCTAAATGGTTGTAACTTTTTATAATATTTATAACTACGGATTTAGTTAAATGTAGATGGGCTCTTGATTAATGTGGTTATATTTGGTTTTCATATTAAATTCTACACAGGAAAGTTTGGATATAATGACTCCGTTTAAAATGGCATATCGTTTATTATGACTAATTCTCAAGAAGTCATATTCGGCTATAGTGACCCAAATGATGAATAATAATATTTTTTTTTATAGTATTACGATTCATAGTTTGTTTTTCATTTTCTGTTAATAAATAAGAACAATTTGTAATTTTTACTATTTTACTATTAAACTAAATAACTAACCAAAATAGAAAGTTGTTTATTTTCTATGATCAGGCTTTGTATGACGCGTTTGACATTTCCTTTCGATGTCATTATAAGCGGATTCTACTGTACTTAGGTATATGTTGTTTTGTGGGTTCTGTGAAATTTAATTAGTTATATTCACCGACAAACCTACCAATTTTTGATTTCCTGAAACCAACTTCCCAAGGTTTATATTCGTATAATGCGACAGTTTGACAAGAGAGAGTCGATCGATGGTAAATTTTCTCTAGTGGAAAACAATGCTGAATCGCATGACAAAAGGAAATACTGTGTAGCAGGAGCAATTCGGCAAGCGGCAAATCGGAAATTTACGTCATTTAATTCTACTCCCACGTTTCCTTATCATCCGTTTTAAAGTAATTCGAAGTAACAACGGCAAAGAATGTTAAAATATTTTAATTCAGCAGGAAATTTAGGGAATTTCAGATATTTCCTTCCTATATGCATCATCGTATTTGAGAACCGAAAGATTAGGGTCGCTAAACAAATAAGTGATAATTTTGATTATAATATTTCTACCCATTTATAACATTTCGAAAAATGGCTGAACAAGTTGGTTTAAATCTCAAGAAAAATTGTAGGATTAGATTAGATACAAAAATTCTTTAGGAAATTTCTTTGATTACTAAATTTCAATGTTTTACAAAGGTACCTTAGTAAATAAAATAATTTTATTGTTTTAAAAAAATTAAACAAAACAGGGTTTTTAGTCCTTGCGAAAAACGTACTCTTTTTAACTTTACTGTTACAACTGTTCGATTATTTACTTTGTACAAAAGAAATACATTAAGAACAAAAAGGCTCAAAATATGAGTTATAACTGAAACTAACTTGAGCCTTATTTACTTCATAATTCAAACTAATGTTAATAATATTAAAGCAGTAACTTACAACAGTAGGCACCTGTCCAGGTACTAATGGTTGTCCAGGAGTAAGGCCCATTTGCTGCATAAGAGCGTTTTTTAACGCTAAATGATTCCTTCCATTTATAAGGAGCTGATCCTTGAGATGTTGAGGGGGATGGAAGTATTTGCATGGAGGTTTTTCGCGGTTACATCGACCCTGAAACAAAAAGAAAACATTTAATTAAGGACATAATTAAATGATGCAAACATCGTAAAAAAGTTAACTCGGTGGCAGGATTTTTTTAACCTTTAAGATAATTGAAAATAACAAAAGTCGCCTTATTACATACTAGGTTTTACCTGTGTAACTTCGCTCTCGTTGATGCCTCAAATACGTGTCATAGATCATCGACAACCACATAAAATTATTTTTTTTATCCTTCGGGAACAGCATTTTTTCGAGATAAAAGATATCCTATGTCCTTTTGTGTACCACTCACAATGTGTATACAAAATTTCACAATAATCGGTTGAGTGGTTAAAGCGTGTAATGGTAGCAAACAAACAAACTCACCTTTAGGATTAGGATTACAAAACGAGGTGGCGAGTTGACATTACGACATGGTTATAAAACAAGTTTTCTTATTACTGATACAAGTATTAAATTGGAAGTTACGATTCCCAGAAGTAATAGTTCGCTGCATTAATCTAAAACGACAGAAAACAATTTTGCTTATTGGAAAATCATAAAAGAACGTCGTCGGCGAGGTACGTTGAAGTTACTACGTAATTTGCCTAATGGAACCTGAACTGATAAAAAGCAACCATCGAAAATATTGACCCTTTTACGTACTCGTAAAGATATGTGCACGAAGTAAGGCAAACATGCCACGCTCTCATTGTCTCATATTAACCATTCCAATGTACATAATTATGCTTTAGTGAGGGCAAAAAGATCCTTGTGCAAAGGTGGTAAAAACTACTCACGGACCGACACTCCATTTTACATCATCCTAAAGCAAGCAGCGTTTCCGGTCGCAAGGCCCCGTATTCCCATCCATTAACTGAGAAGAAGGCAAGGCAAAGAGGTCCCGGGAGAGACGTTTCGCCGGCAAAAAAGCGGCGGCGCGGGAGCCGAATTTAGACAATGTTAAAAGGGAATGCGTAAATACGACAACAGGAGCAAAAAAGACGAGTAGCCCAGCCGTTAGTTACTACCGTTCCGACTAAATACAACGCTACAGTTACTTGCTAGGTTGCTAAGTCCGAAGAAATAAAGAAGTCGGCTTTTGTTGAGACTTCAAAGCAAGATTTCGTCCGCCTAATGAAGAAGAATAAGAAGAACAAGAAGTGGAATAGTCGTCGCTAAATGGACAACATGTTGTTCGCAACACCCAGCCAAAACAGTTCCTCAAACTCTACCGATTTTCGCCGTTTACTTTTTGTCGGAACCACCCGACGACGACGTCGGCACTTCCGGAGCTTTTTCTTTGTAACTTCAACTTGTATACTCCGGGAGAAGGTAATTTTCGAAGTCGAACGAAGGCAACTGTTTTTCTACTGTGATTTCTAAGCCGCGCAGTCTTCTAATTTTCTCAAACAAGAAAGAACCAGCGTCCGCATCTCCCAAAAGGAATTCCCGCTCAAAGACAAACAGCTAATTAATAAGAAGAGACACAGAAGCAACGAAATGCATCTCTTCCAAGACTCGCAAGAGCAACATTCTTTTTCGAAAATATTTTCACCGTAATAATTACAAAGGGACCGTACTGGTTTCTTTTCAATTTAAACTAAAAACAATTGTAAAAATATTATCAGCAAATTAATAAATAGCGAACTAATTTGTAGATTTTCTACAATACCTGAAAAAATAACTATTTAATTTTTAAAAATGTTACATAAATGCTATAAAGTTTTGCTAGAGGGAGGAAGAATAAATTATTTCTCAATATTATTTATTCTAATGAGTTCCTTTCGTAATACATCATGCAATATGTGAATAATCAATTGCCAATTCTCAATTTTACACATCACTCTTAGCTCAACTGTTTAGGGTCCACCCACACTATGCCGCTCTCGGTTTGCAATCGATCCTATCTAAATGTCCCC